AAGATAAAGCAAATTGTTAGCATTAATCTGTATGCTATATAGATTATTCCTGTCTCAGAATAAATATAATATATGCTTCTCTACTGGCTATTTTTTAAAAAAAGTACTTAATCCACATTTAAAAGTCCCAGAAGAAGCAGAATTACTTAATGCAAGATCGAATTTGGATCTGTCACTGGGACCAGAGATTTACTCTTCCGAGCTTTTGGACTGACGCTAGAGCCCATCCTCAGGGAATTTCTCTCTACTGAAATATGTCCTTTGGGCTGTTCTGAGTTGCGTTTATGTGGTGCCTTCCTATTGGCTTACTATAGGAAGGCACCACATAAACATGACTCACAGAACAGCCCAAAGCACACACTTTTCTAGAGAGAGGTTCCCTGACGATGGGCTTTAACATCAGTCCAAAAGATGGGAAGAGTGACTGACCCAGATTGGATCCTGCAACATTATCCTGAGACACATATATTGCCTTCATTCGTGAGAATTATTTAAAGTGGATGTTGGAAAAAAAACCACTGAGAGACATCCCTGATGTGTGAAATAGAAGGATGGATGGCCCAGTAAATTCTTTGCCAGGGGTTCAGATCTTTGTGAGGTCTGCCCATAGGCCCCCTCCCCTGATCACCATACAAAAACAGTACTATGGCATGTCACAAGGCACAAAACAAACTGCTTACTCAGCAACTCACAACTCCCATGAAAACATACTAAAGCTGGAGGGCTTGTTTTTCCCTTACTGATAAGCTAAGTATTATGCTGTGATAAGTAGCAAAAATGCACAACAATTTTTTTAAAGGCAGTGGAGACATTTGGCACTACCATCACCTTTTAATACAGGCAAATGATCAAAACAAAAAAGTGGGAAGGGCTAGGGCAAGAATTTAACTTTAAAGCAGACGTGTTTATTTTGTTAATGACAACTGTCCAAGACTGTTTTCCTCACATGATGTTCAAATTTTAATTCAGGGACAATGTAAGGGGGGACCAGGTGGGAGTCAGATTCAGCACCTGTATAGCTCTGTTAGCATTCAGGGAATTTACATTTCTCTTCAACAGATTTATCTAAAATTCATATTTCCATTTCTAAATAATGAAACTGAGCTCTCATCACATGATCACTAATTCCTAGGACAGATATTTCAGATGAGAAAAATCCCTATAATAGAAAACATATTAAGGTAGTCCTTGACTTACCACAGTTCAACTAGTGACTGAAAAAAGTGATTTATGACTTTTTACACTTACAACTGTTGCAGCATCCCTAGTCATGTGATCAAAATTCTGCAATTCACTCATATTTATGATGGATGCAGTGTCCTAGCGTCATATGACCTTTTGCAACCTTCTAAGAAGGAACGTAAATGGGGAAGCCAGATTCACTTAACAACCATGTTGTCTTACCCCGATGGCTTCCAAGCCTGACATGTTACTATTTTAACAGTGATGATCCACTTTACAACTATGGCAAGAAAGGTCGTAAAATGAGTCAAAATTCATTTAACAAATGTCTTACTTAGCAACAGAAAATTTGGGTTCAATTGTGGTTGTAACTCGAGGACTACCAGTAATGCATTTTACAATATTTTCAGGTGGAGGGAAGAGAAGAATGAATCAAAAACCCCACCTTCTGTCAACCAGAAGTTCTAGCTAAATTGTTATCATCATCATCATCATCATTAAAACATTCTACTGTGGATGTGATATATCTTGCACTTGGAAGTAACTCATGGAAGCTCTTAAAGATTTACTCCAAAGTGAAAAGGATGGGGGACATCTCTTTCTTGGAAGAAAAATTAAGATAGATATAACCTGCAAGCACACAGTCCAGTGTACAAAAATAACTGGTGGGAGATTACCTATTCATTTTTTTTAATACAAAAGCCACATAGTTTCTATACTGCCTCAAAATGGAAAGAAGGTGAACAGGGTTTCCACCACCATCAAGAAAATATATGAATTATGTTTCAAGGGGAAATTCTATGCAAATAGGTGAAGTGATTTGCTACATAACTAATACGAAAAACAAAGCTACTGAATAACAGCAGTTCTATCTAGATAGCCATGGATTATTGCCTAACTTGTTTGGAGCCTTCGTGTGGAATCCTCTCTGAAAAATATTCATACATAGCAAAGAGCAGAGAATGAAATAAAGAATCAAATAGTCATTTTTATGGGGTAGAAACACCCCCCCAAAGCACACCTTCTCTATTAAAGGGCTGTTTCCAATTAATGCTACCAATCTCAGCACCCTGATAAGGTCCAATCTGTGAACATACTTCAAACACCAAAGTTAAAAAAGCACCAGTCTTTCTTTACAGGTAGTTCTTGACCTACAATCATAATTGTGCCCAAAATTTCCACTGTAAATAAGCAAGGCAGTTGTGAACTGACTTTTGCCCCATTTTACATCTGTTTGCAGGAGTGAAAGGAATCAGTGTAGTTGTTAAGTGAATCACTAAGCAAATCTGGCTTCTTCCACTGACTTTGCTTGTCAGAAGCAGGCTGGGAAAGTAACAAATGGTAAATCACATGACCCCCCTCAAAAATGCAACCATCATAAATACATGACAGTTGCCAAGCATCCGAATTTTGATCACATGACCATAAAAGTGCTGCAATGGCTATAAGTGTGAAAACTGGTCATAAGTTACTTTTTTCAGTGCCATTGTAACTTCAAACGGTCACTAAACAAATAGTCCAGGTCTATCTATTAAATTTACCAGAACAATTCAAGAATGCATTACAAAAAAATACAGATAATAAAAACAACGCAAATTCCAAAGCAATTACATTACAGTATTTCATGTCTGGGATGGGCAGGAAGGTTGTAAATTAGCCCTTTAGGATGCTACAAAGCTCCTAAATTGGCCTTCCTCGACCAGTGCCTTCCAGATGTGTTGAGCAATCACTCTTAAAAGTCGGTTGGTCAGAAATCATAAAACCTGAGAAATCAGGACATTTGGAGGGTTTCATATAGACACAAATCTCATTTTTTTTCAATAATGCATCAATAATGAAATGACAAGAGGTTTTCTGGAGGAAGTTTTTCCAAAATCATAAGGTCACCTACTGAGGAAGGGTATCAAAGTTAGCCAACTTTAGAAATGAGGATAAACTTTTTAAGGAGCCAATAAAGTAGAATACACATGGTCCTCAACTTATATCCATGACTGAGCCCAAAATTTCCATTGCAAAGTGAGACGTTTGTAAAGTGAGTTTTGCCCCATTTTACCACCTTTCTTGCAACAGTGACTGTAGTTGTTAAATTAGTAACACGGTTGCTAAGTGAATCTGGCTTCCCCATTGGGAAGGTGATCACATGACCATGGCACACTGCCACTGTCATAGTCCTCTGAATTTTGTCAAGCATCTGAATTTTGATCATGTGACCCTAGGGATGCTTCAACGGTGGTGTGAAAAATGGTCATAAGTTTTTTTCAGTGCTGTTGTAACTTTGAAGTGTCTCTAAATGAACTGTTGTAAATCGAGGACTACCTGTATTTGTAGCTCAGGGTTTAAATGAATCTCCTCGCCTTTGAGGAGGTTTGGAGTGGAGTGGAGTAAAAAAGTCCAAAGAGATGTAATAATGAAATAGTTGGGTGAGATACAGGCAGAAGAGAGAGAGAGGTTCCTGGAAAGCAAATTGAAAAGCAAAGGGGAGTAATCATGCAGCAATGGGCTGGGATCAAGCCAATTATTCTGATGGGTGCAAATCATTTTTCAGAACAGAGAACAAGAGGTATTTTCAAGAGGGTGGGGAATCCCACTGCAAAGAAATCCAGAAAGAAAACAAAATTCCACCAAAGGCTGAAAACAACATGTGGATGGGAGCAGCTCCCAGGTGCAATTCCTAAACAAAAATGGGGGGAGGGGGGGTCGTGCAAAGTCAAGCAAAGGCAAAGATTACAGCAGTGTCATTTTCCAAGAAAGGGGGAAACAAGAGAATTCAGGGAAAAAGGATCCTTGGTGGAAAATCACATGAATTGACAGAACTGGGTGCAGGATAAACAAGGTCCATATTTGGAGGAGGAGGTATTTTTCAAATTTCTATGTGCAATTAAAAAAAAAACCTGCCCATGCCACCACCAGGCAGATGGAGGGGTCCCATTCTTTACAGGGGGGGTGCAAACAAACAGGATGGGAGAACCAAAGACATGGGTGCAATTCTCCCCAGAAGGGATGCAAAGCTGTGGAGAAGGGGGCTAACCAATTCAGGGGGGGGGGGGACAACAGGGTGAGGGGAAGCAAGGAGATGGGAGAGGGATGCAATTCTCCCCACAAGGGGTGCAAAGCCAGGGTAGGGGCTAACCAATTCTTGAGGGGAGGTATAAACAAATCGGGTGGGGGGAACCAAGGAGAAGAGAGGAGAGTGCAACTCCCCCCCTCCCCAAAAAAGGTGCAAAGCTGGAGAAGGGGCTAACCAATTTTTGTGGTGGTGGGGTGTAAACAAGCGGGGTGGGGGCAATCAAGGAAACAGGAAGGGGTGCTATTCCCCCCAAAAGAAGATGCAAAACTGGGAATGGGGGCTAACCAATCGGGGGGGGGTTGTAAACAAATAGGATGGGGGAAACCAAGGAGATGGGAGAGGGGTGCAAGGCCGGAGAGGGGGGCTAGTCAAGGGGGTATAAAGAAACGGGGTGGGGGAAACCAAAGAGATGGGACGGGGGTGCAAAGCTGTGGGTGGGGAGTTAAGTCAGCAGACCGTGGGGGGGCAGGTGGGGGCGCTTGTAAGTGCGAGGATGATGATGATGATGGTTTGGAGAAAAGTTGGGGTTGCAAAAGAGGCAAGGGGGGGCATGCAGAGGCCATGGGGAGAAGATGCCCTCCTCCCTCCTTTCTCCCCCCCCGTTTGCCTAAAAAGGGGGGTGCAATTCCAGCGTATGTCCTCCCCCCACACACACACACAGACATCCGAGTCTCATCCCAGCCGGAGAGGCGGCGAGGGAAGGGAAGCAGGGAGAGCCGCGGCCTCCTTCCTTCCTCCTCCTCCTCCTCACCTTGTAATAGACGTCGAATTGGATGTTCTCCGGCAAGGAGCGGATGTCCCTCCGGCGGGCCCGGCCGTAGCTGTCGACCACGGCCGAGATGGCGGTGTTGTAGAGCGTCTCGGGCACCCACTCCAGCTCCACCGCCGCCATCTTGCCTGACTCGGAGGGGCGGCCGCCCTGACCACAGGAGGCGGGCGAAGCCTCGGCCGACTTCACCGCTCAGGCCTTAGTCGCTCCGCCCAGACGCTGCCGCCGCCGCCGCCGCTGCTGCTCTCCTCCTTCTTCTCGCCCGCTTTCCCCTCACCCGGCCGGGCTGAGGCGAGGCGGGAGCCGCTGGGGGCGCCCTTACGGAGGAGGAGGAGGAGGAGTAACCAGGAGCCCGCCGCGGCCTGGCAGGGACCCGCCGCCTGCGTGAGGGGCGAGTCCGCGCCGCGCTTCTTTCCCCCCCCCTTCAGCGCGACGTCCCGGCTGAGGTAAAAGCCGCGGGGGGCGGGCTTCGCCCGGCGCGCACAGGCCGCGGCGGCGCGGGGAGGAGGGGTGCGGGAGGAGGTGGGTTGGGTTGGTGGGCGGGGTTCATGGAAGGCCCTCTGATGGGAGGGGCGTCCACCCTCGCCCAATCCCGGCAGGGTGAGGGGGCGCGCGCGGCCCTCCTCAAGTTAGTGGAGGGAGGGAAGGGGCTAAGGAAAGGGGAGGGGGCAGAGTGAGAGAGGCTGCCGTTGACACACACAAACAGACCCAAACACACAGAGACACACAAACACACAGAGAGACACACAAACAAGCACAAAGACACACACACAGACACTCACACATAAACACAGACACACGCACAGAGACAAACACACCAACACACAGAGACACACCAACACACAGAGAGACACACAAAGATGCACAAAGACACGCAAACACACACGGACACAAAGACACACATAAACACAAAGACACACAGATAAACACAGAGACACAAAACAGACACAAAGACACACAGAGAAACATAAGCACAAAGATACTCACACAGACACGCACACAAAGACACACAGAGACAAACACAGAGAGACACAAAGACACTCACACAGACACGCACACAAAGACACACAGACACAAAGACACACAGAGAGACAAACACACAAAGACACACAGAGAGACACAGACACACAAATACACACACAGAGACAAACAGACACAAAGACACACAGACACAAACAGACACAGACACACAAATACACACACACAAACAAACACAAAGACACAGACAGAGAGAGAAACACACAGATACACAAAATACAAACACAAACACAGAGAGACATAGAGACACACACAAATACACACAGACAACACATACACACACACACACACACATCAGTCATCCCTCAGGGCTTTTGGGACTGTCTGTCATCCCTTGAGGACAGGGTCAAAAGGGTGGGGGAGTTGGTAAGGTTGGGGTTCGGGTTGTAGGGGGAAATTAGAATAGAATAGAAGTTGTGGGAGCTTCATCCCTGGGGGCTTTCGAGAAGAGACTGGAGTGCCATCTGTCAGAAGTAATGTAGGGTCTCCTGCTTGGCCGGGGTTGGACTAGATGACCTACAAGGTCCCTTCCAACTCTGTTAATCCATCAAAGAGTAGATAGAATAGAATAGGAGCTGTGAGAGCTTCATCACTGCAAGTTTTCAAGAAGAGACTAGACTGCCAACTGTGTTGTCCAAACTTTGGAACTTTAAGACTTGTGGACTTCAACTCCCAGAATTCCCCAGCCAGC